GTGCAGGTGTGGCTCTGATGACCACGGTGGTGATCTCCACCCGGGACCACGGCGGGGTCGCTGAGATCAAGAGGGTCATCATGGAGAGAGACACCTACCCTCGAAAGTAGGGGCTGGGCCCCAAGGTACGATCTGTTTCCTTTTTACCTGTTCTGTGGTGTTAAAGTTATGTGTTGATGAGCTGCGGCTCGCCTCGAAAGTAGACGAGAATAGCCGATTGCAGCCGGGGGAGGTCTCAAAAAGCTTGCCTGAAGTCGGACAGCTCGGAGTCGGCTTGACTCGGTTTGCAATGGCAGAAATTGCGTTGGCGTTCTTCGTTGTGGATGCAATAGAAATCCCACATTTATTTATTTATATGGAGAAGGCCATGATGAACACCGTCTGCGGAGGTAATTACGTATATTTTTATTTGATAGGGACATACCATTTTAATGAACAGCAGTATAAAATACGTAAAATAAAAAATGTAAATGCTTTTGAGCAAACGTGCTAATTTACATCCGTAGTACCTAGGCAGGTAACAAAGATAGACAAAAAATACACAAGTAAAAAGACAAAATCCATTGTAGGCTACTACATGTATCTAGGCCTACCACTGGCTGCATCAGTATAAATTAAAAAGTATGATCGATTATCCGGACTGATTACTTTACTCTACAGATCACAAATTGTGCAAAAATTATGACACTATTAGTCTTTTTTCCTAATGGGATAAGATAAAAGCTACTTTACTAAAGATATAGAAAGCAAGCAAGATAGTAGTACAAAGATACAAGAATAAAACAAATCAAGTGAAGATAATATAGGCCTGCAGCAGCAGTTATGGCAACAACTGCAAAACACTAAATGTTGAATAGGTCTAATGATTTATGCTCATCTGCTGCTGTGTCTGCCTTCCTTAGATCCGTTCCCAAGGTCCAACAATTTGTGGAAGAAGTGGTCCCACAGTACAGTCCTTCAGACTTTAAAAGTCATTTCCGATTGTCCAGGGGACATGTGGAAGTGTGTGTGTATATATATATATAACATAAAATATGTATTATCTGGACTGGTGATATTAAAAGCCATTTATTCCTTTCTACCAAACAGGATGTGATGACGACTATTGGCCCGTTCTACATGAACAGACAGCACAGTAAAGTGGCGCTCCAAAACAGTGTCCTTGCCTGTCTGTGGACTCTATCCAACCAAGAGTCCTATAGGGGGGATTTCCCAACACAGACTGTGCGGTAGATAGAACTATCTGTTGAGCTTCATTGTTTTACGTTCATCAGATTATATTCTATATAAACGGACAGGACCCTCCTTCAGTCTCTTTCTGCTTCAAGCCTTCCAAAGGACAAAGAAGAGCATAACCTCCGGTACATTTAAAATAATCTTATTTAATGTCACAAAAGTGTGTAGTTGCTATATTTAGCTTATAGTGAACTGAAAATATTAAGTATTTTATCATGTCAATTACTGGCTGACATGTGCTGAAACCAACGAGCTAACGTTAGCTTATGTAGCTTAGTAGCTGTTATCACGTGGTTCAGTTAGCTTAAGTTAATCGCTATAATGGCATGTTAATGTAGTTGTATTTTACCAAACATTGCGCTGCCTTATTATGCAATGAAACACCTAAAGATATGATGATGCTAGGGTATAATTGCTAAACTTAAGGTTAGCTTAACACATCACATGAGAACCACGTGTTCGGCATGCTGCTGCTTCAGGTTTGTCTTTCCTCCGCGCCTTTTAATGTGACAATTGATATTTTCTGACTGGATCACAGGTAGTAACATTATCTTTGTTTTTTTCCAGGTTGAAGCCAGTGTGCTTAGTATTGCCAAGTTTAACAGCATGGTGGTGAGCCTCGCTGCCTTCTTCCCCTTCAAGTCGGCGCAGGGTGCTCTGGAGAACATCAGTGCAATTTCTGAAGGCAAGATAATTTCCTTTTTTGGGCTGCATTTGTGTCCTCAGTTGTAATGATGTATCAATCTGTCAATCCACTGATTTCCTGTGCTGACAACCTCCATGTAACCCTGCACAACTGAGGAAAGCCTTTTGAATGCATGTGTTGCATAGCCCCGGACAAATTCTCCTTCAATAATATAATACATTAACCGTACTTTACCTAGAGGACGGCATAATTGTAATTTCCCGTGTTCATTGAATGCAACAGAGGAAAGACACCACCAGTAAGCGAACATGTAAGCAAAGCATAAATTACAGCTACGTTGACGTTACTTTGAATCGCGGGGGTAAGCTAAACCGTTAGCAAGTAGCTATAGCTAGCCAGAGAAATTAAATAAACACTTGGTCATACAATCTAAATGTTGTGTTTTTTTTAGCGTTACCTGGTGATTTAAAAGAAAGCTCTCTGGGAAATGTTGACTTACATGAAGATAGAAGCTACCTTACAGTACACAGTTGATCCTGAGTCCTGTCAGTTAAAGTGTTTCATAGTTAGCTTAGCTAAGCATCAACCTAGCACTGAAATATATGGATGTTATGTGACAGTATTTCTGAGAAAAAGTCAGCTGAAATGGTGGCATAGTTGCCACTGCTTTATGTGTCGACAACATGTTTGAACATATTTGCAGCAGTAAATGTGGCTGTTTGGCCACTGACGTTGCCATAACAACACCTGAATTTAAATGTGCAACCTCTTTTTGTGACAGATTTTTGCATGAAATTATAATTCTTCTGAATGATATTCCTATTGACAGCTAGTTTCTATGTGAACATTATGAGATGGACAGCCAGCTAACAAGCTTTTTATATACAAAGATTTCAGATCAAAGCTAATCCAGTGTGGCTCCTGAAAGGGGGGCAAGGGACGCTATGCTCCCAAATATTAAGCCTTGACCCATCTTAAAATTGATATGATAAAAAAAATTATCTGCATTGTCGGAGGCCTTTTTTCCTCATTATCATGTCAAATTGTACAGCTTTCCTTAGTTTTGAATGCAGAAAGATGACTATATTAGAGTATTAAGTGAAAATTACTATATAAAGTGTTAAGTGAATTACTCAAACTGCATTTGTATAGGAATGATTCTGTCCTATTGGCAGATAACTACTCTAACAGTGATATCTACAAGAGGTTTCCAATGTAAATTTAACTTTTCAATTGGTTAGTATTATATTTTGTGACAGTGGTGACACTCATTTTAATGAAGACAAATTTGTGCATCTTGAAATTCATTTATTTGACAGAGCTGGAAACTGATTGACTGATCCACAAGGCCTCAACTATTCTTTGGAAGAGCTTTAAAGCCACCCACGTCCATGGGGACATCACAGAGCAGCTACATGCTGCAAATGTCAGTGAGATTCAGGATCGTAGGGAGGATCTGAAACGCGTAGCAGCAGTGACGGCCTTTCTTGGGAAGCAAGGGATTGCTTTTAGAGGGCACAACGAAGCAGGAGAGAGTGATAACAAGGGTAATTTTATGGAATGCATGAAGCTTCTTGAAAACTTTGATCATTTTCTGCAAACATATAAGCCACCTTCATGTGTGACCTATTGCTCACCCTCATCACAGAATGATATGTTTGAAAGCACCGCTGACGTTGTAATGGCAAGGATAATCTCTGAGATTAAAGAGGCAAAAATGTACTCGGTAATGGTGGATGAAGCAAGGGATAATCACACAGAGCAGCTTGCATTGTGTGCGATATGTAAGTCCACAAGGCTCAGTGAAAGAAAGGTTCCTTGGACTTTCTCAGCTTGCAGCATTTGATGCTAAAACCATTACTGACACAATAGAGCAGCTACTTGACAAACATGGAATAGGACATCTTAAATGTGTTGCTCAAAGTTATGATGGTGCTGCTGTTATGAGTGGTACAAGCTCGATTTAGAGAAGCATCCAGAGGCACTTTATGCCTAACAAAGCTAATGCAGGCACACGTTTGTTTGTGACACCAGATGGCGTAATTCTCCGATTTATCAAGGATTTTATACCAACCTTGATAACCCTGTTACACACACACGACACACCTATATGCCGCAAGCTGATTATCGAGCCTTCATTGTAACGGATCTGGTAGGCCACGTTATTCTTTACTTTCTACGTCTTTATATGTAGAAGATATTACTTTTTTCTCCGTCATGTTGTTTCCATAGCAACAACTTCCTGTCAACAGCCTAAACTCGCCTTCAAAATAAAAGCACAGGAAGTTAACCTAAATTACATTTAAGACGTACAACTGCAACAAAAGTAACAAAAAACAATGTAATATCCTTTTCAGTTTCACAGAACACAAATTGGGTTATTTACATATGTTTACAGTACTGTCGATTGTTGTTTTTTTTTAAACATTATTTGCAGAATTTGGCCGTGTAAAATGTCCTCTTTGGTTGCTGTACAGCCAATACGTGACGTCATTGGTAAGCGTAACGAACCCCGAACAGATTCTGGTACCTACACCGCCACTGTGGGCTAAGCCCCGAATGTTTCCAGGTCCAGGCGACGCCCCTGGTTTAAACCAAATCAATTGTTAACCTTCACATATTAGCAGTAGCCCATCATAAACTGAACAATAAAGGATTCTTCTGGCAGATCCACGTATGATGTGTTGCATCTTTCAAATGGCTCTTCTGCAGGTTTCAAGAGTAATTTGAACCAAGTCTCTACAGACCAATAAGTAATCTTCCTCCTTCCCTTGCAGGTGTGGTTCATGGTGACCTGAAGTTGTTCCTAGAGACAAACCTGCCCCTCTCTGCGAAGAAGAAAGCCGTGTTGGGGGTTTCAGATTCCAAGGTCGGAGAATCTTTACAAGAATAGTTTACCGTGTCCATCCAGACTGGAGAGGTGGTAGCAGAGATGAGCAGAAGTGAGGATCATTTTCCTGTCTCAGTTTTTTACTCCTGTTGTGATGTCATTTTTTTTTAACCCTGAAACTCATGAAGGTTCATACTGAAAATCTGAACAGGCGCTGGTCACATGCTGTTCTGCCACTCTTCCACTGAACTCGACACATCTAATCTGTTGTCTGTCCTGTAGGTCTGCACTTCCACTCGCTGGTGAAGGGTCTCACCGGCCTGGCTGCCTCCAAGGCACAGCTGGATACCACTTCCCAGAGCTGGTCAGAATCGTCCGCAGAGCATGGAGGCCGTGGTGATGGACGGCACCAAGGCTCAGGCCATCCTGGAAGCATCCTGTTCCTCCATGGGTACGCAAACTTCATTTAATCTTTACTACGTTGGCATCTGTGCACGTCACATGCATTTAAAACTTAAACACACACCATGCCCCTATTTGCCCACCCTGGACTAATAAATGTCCTTGGTGATTAACACAGGGGGGCAAATAAAATCTCTCATAAACCTGTAGTAAAGGCACACCGTCCTCTCTGCGGATCCTGTCGGGAGAAACAAACAAAAGCAATGACTTATCAGTGAAATCTCGTTGGTTGTGTTCAACCTACTGCACAACATGGTTCATGCAATGGTGGTAAACCTCTGCTTAAAGTTCCCATGTCATGGCCATTTCCATTGTTGAGGTATACTAAAATAGATTTATATTGTGCAATTTTCCAAACTCACATTGGTTTCTCATACAGCATCTCTGTATAGTATGTGTATTCACTCTGTCCTAAACGGCTTGTTGGAGCTCCTGCCCCCCCTCCTGTGAGCCCAGTGTGCTCCGATTGGTCAACCACCAGAGACTGGGCTCCGCCCATGTCCAACACAGTGCAATTTTCGGCTCCGAGCGGAACATCAGTTTTACAATGGCGTCGGTACAGCCGTATATGTTTGAACCGGAGTCCGATCCTGAAAGTGAGACAGACCAACGTGATAGACCTGATCCACCGTCCCAAACTAGAGCAGACGGTTTCACAGTGGAACGTTTTTATTTAGTATCGCTCTTACATTTCAGATGATAGAACTGCATCATGTATCTTCATCACAGTAACAAGTTTGTCCGCTAACTAACCGAACTGTACCTACAACTGTTGTTATTTAGGTGCACTTTTGGAAACTGCGCCATGATGCCGACCGAAGTGGAACACGTCTGTTGCAAAGAAATAAGAAAAGGTAGCCGAGCTGACAGTTACAACATTATGTAGCCAGCTAGCTGAAAACACCAACAGTAGCACACAACATTATATGCCAAGATATACACCATACATATTTGTCAAGTCAATAGACTTTTTATTTCTTCCTTAGTAATTGAATGTTTATTTTGTAAACCTTGCCATAGTTGGTTTAATTGCTAAACGCGTTATGTTACAAATATCTTACCTTCCTATAGGTTGTAACACGAATGAACCAAGTCCCAGCACCTATTATGTGCATGGTACACCACCCAGGACTAGAGCCAAACTGTTTCAACCATACACCCTGCAGAACCTCCATACTATTTACAGATTAGATTATGGACCTTTGAGGCGTAGAACGGAAGAAGAGTAAGTTATTCTTACCTATAATTAACTACTACTGTGTTTGATGAAAAATCAAATCATGGTTTGCTATATATGAATGATATGTTATAGGAGCAAATAATTCAGGGAAGAAAGGCTATTAAGTATTTCCATCAAACTTTATTTTTAGAAATGTACAAAATCAACATATATGTGTACTCAGGTCTTGTACTTGAGTAAAAGTATAAGTACTCAGGTTTGAGTAAAAGTAGAAGTACCAGAGTGTAGGAACAATCCTGCAATCAAAATGTTCCTCAAATAAAAGTACAAAAGTATTATCAAAATATAGTGAAAGTAGCAACAGTAAAAGTAGCAGATTGGTCCATTTCAGAATAATATATATGTTTTATAATGATTGATCATGAAAGTGTTCTCAAAGCTGGTAAAGGTGCAGCTAGTTTGAATGACTTTGTATACTGCAGGGTAGCTTGTGAATTTACTCCAGGTGGAACTAAAGTCTGATTTAACACTGGATTATATTTCACATCATTCATCCAGATCTGTGAAGTAACTAAAGCTATTAAATACATGTAGTGGAGGAAAAGTACACCATTTACCTCTGAACTTTAGAGAAGAAGAAGAACAAAGTAGCAAAACATTGAAATACATAAATAAAGTACAAGTATCTCAAAATTGTCCCCAAGTATAGTACTTGTTGAGTTTATGAACTTAGTTACTTTACACCAGTGGCTATAAAGATAGAAAGACTAAGCCTTGCACAGAGGCATGAAAATACATTTTCAAAATGCTCAACAGTGCTGCCAAAATTATAAACTGACTGCGACACAATTAAAAATAAATGCTTTTATATATTTCTATTAGATGTGACTCTTTGGCGTTTCTGTTATTAACACTGCTGCTTTAGTTGTTCTGACTGCTAACATCCTGTTATTCCTCATTTTAAAGCCTATATTCCGTGGGGTTGGGGGACTCGGATCCTTGTCACCTTTTGCATCCCTGACAACAGCTAGTGGTTCATATTAGACAAGAACATGTTTACAATTGCAATCTTATACGGGTAGTCTGCTACGTTCGGTCATTCATTGTAGCTGGCATAAAAACAATGTTTTCCCTAGCAAACTCATGTCTAGCTCTTGGTAGCCTTATTTATTTAGCTCGGTAGCATACACGCTAGGAACGCCAACTATAATGTAATTAAGTTTCGCGACTGACCGTATGGTAAATCACCCGGAGTATACTGTCTGAGTATTTCGTGTGTGAATGCAGACATTCTCCTGCTATGAGATACATGTAAGGCCATCTGCTGACATTCGAGTTGATATATGGAAACGCTAGCAACTTAGTTAGCCCAGTTAGCACTGTGTCAATGGCTTAGCAGCCCGAAAAACGTTTACCCATTTCAACAGTCGTGGTAGATACCTTGTTTGTTTTAAACATCATAAATACACAAACAACAATGAATACTTACAGGTTGTGTACCCGAATCTCCCGCTGGTCCAAACAAAGTAGGAACAGCATCGTTCTTCAGTGCCCTACGCTGTACATATCCGGCATGAATCGCTGAAAGGTTTGTGAAGCTTTGTTTCGTGAAATGCTGGCAGAGGGTGTATTCACAAGTCACAGTACCCAGGAAGTAAACGATGGAAAATGAGAAATCTCCAACGAGGCGTTTTGGGGCAGCATAGACTGTGTTAGAGTTTTACTCGCTACAGGGTGTTCTTTGAGGGTTTGTGACTCTGCAGACCGTTTACATGCATACAAACCTTCAACACACAAGGGGACGGGTAATAACCGGAAAAGCATGACATGGCCCTTTAAAACAAATACAAATAATAATTTGAACTGTATCTTTTTAACTGTTGACCCTGAACGTATAGTTCAACTGAAAAACCAAAATAAATGTTAAATACCAATAAACAAGATCAACAAATATTTGAGCGCACTTCCACAAGCCACTAAACATAAATATGATAAATAAAAATAAATTAGATCAAATATGTTGCAGTGCACTGTCACAACCTAGCAAAGCAAAATAATCGTTTTTTTGTAATTGTGGCAGGACAAAATCGTAATTGCGATTAAAATACGATTAATTGCACAGCCCTAGTTCAACCCACTGCACAACATGGTTCATGCAATGGTAGTAAACCTCTGCTTAACACCTTTTCTTAATCTATCCTTCAGGTATGGACATCTCACCCATTGAGAGATTCTCCACTCGCGTGGTGGCTCTGGCTGAATATCCACTCGGGCTGCAGGAGTACCTGCGCTGCAAGATGGCCCAAGTGGCCCCAGCTTTAATCTGAGAAGTGGTGAGTTAAAGTGCAATGTGTTCACTGTATATAAATTACTCTAGGACCAATGATGTGTTTACCAAATCTGTCAATCCCCTGAATCTCTGTGTTGATACTTCCGGTCCTGATGGTCCTCCTGAGTAATCCATTTCTCATGGTACCTCCCCCAAAGTTCTGTTGATCATTGAAGCTAATGCCCTTTTCTTCTTCAGGTTGGAGCTCGCTTTTTCCACTAGGCCGGGCCGGAACTAGGCCTAGTGGAAGCGCAACCAAAAACGGGCACGACACGGCACGCTTAAAGCGAGCTCCGCGCTGTAGTGGAACTGCGCCATAACAAGGCCCTGTTCAGGTACTGGGGCACCCCCCCCCTCCCTGCTGGGGAATAAAGTGGCTACAGTGATGGCAGGGCGGGGCAGGAACCGAGCAGGGTGACTGGAGAGGGCTAAGGTCTCCTCCAGAGTGATCCCTCTCCCCCAATGCACCCCCACAGTCTGAGGTAGAACATCTGATGAACTAGTTGGACTAAAACACAGGAACTAACATTAAACTAATTGAGGCACTGACCTCCAACAATAATAATGCAACTTGACTCGAAGACAATTTGTGTAAAAAAAGTTCACTCAATAATTTCTTATGGGTGTCCTCAGTTGTAATGATGTATCAATCTGTCAATCCACTGATTTCCTGTGCTGACAACCTCCATGTAACCCTGAACAACTGAGGAAAGCCGTTCCTAACATAACGCATAAGTATCATAGCGCTTTCCTCGTCGCGTGGGCGTAGATATGCCGGATACGGAAGTACTTCCTTTGTTACGTTTAATAGCAGGCTATAAGCCAATGTGAAATATGCACTGCGCCCCTATCGTACCTGAATGTTGGCTTACAATATTATACTAGAGTAGTTGATTATCAGGATGATAAACAGTTTTACTATGCATTTAATGCACGTCCCATATGTATATTTTAATTGAACAACTAAAATCTCAACCTAAATGTCATGAAATAATAGTACGGTGTCTCTGGTATTTTATGAAATCATTAATACGTTGCTTATTATCTTGAGTTTTTTTCAGAATGTCTCTGTCCAAAACCTTTAGAACGGCCACTAAGCCTTATGAAAGGCTCCCACAAATTAAGGTGAAGGTTCTGGCGGTGAAAGACACCACAAAAGTACAAAGGTGTGAGTTCGATGGAGAGGGTGCCAAGGCCACACAGGTTTATCGAAACCGAACAGCTGCGGTCACAGACGGGCAGACTGTACAGAAATGTGTTTTATTTGAAGATTTGCTCCAGCAAATAAACGAGGGCCAAACTTACATTGTAAGGAATTATGGCATGAGCAAATTTGGTCATACCAAATCCATGCTCAGCAGAAAAAACACAGCCATATACATGTGTGCCCCGCTCCAGGCCATTTGGAGGAGGAAGGCAAGGCCCTCCTGACACCTCCCTCCACCCTGGTGCCAATTCTGGATCTGACCACAGGGATTGAGCAATTGGTGACAGTTCAAGGGTTCATCAACGAGGTACGTTATACTCAGATTTACAATGTTTTAAGCAAGTAACATCATACATCAACAATTTTAAAACATTGATATAATGTAACTTACCATGAAGTGCTTTGAAAATATCATCCTATGTTGCACAGACAACTGTGAAACAAAAACAAAAGGTCAAGTTGTAATTGCACACAAAGCACTGAGGCCTACATACTCAACTAGAATATAGTGTATTAAGGTTTACATAGAAACATACATGTTATTACACCAAAGAAACATTGTATAAGTTACAATTCCAGAGACATGTGCATAATATATATATATATATATATATATATATATATATATATATATTTTTTTTTTCCCCCCTTTACTTGCAACATTTAGATTGAGCCAATTATAAAACATCAGATGGGCTCAGAACTACCAGTCCCACTCAGGAATGTGACACTAAAAGAGGTAGGGAAAAGTGGAAATTATGTCCAACAACTGATTTATACTCTGTAACAAAACATTTATCACTCCAGTGCAATTGAAATGCTCTGGGAAGTGTCTGCCTAAATCACATTGTACCTGTGACTAAGCACTACTGTAGCCCGTTCTGTTTTTGCAGGATGAGGGGGAGATCCAGGTTTGCCTCTGGAGGGAGTCCAATCTGGTTCCCATAACAGATGGCATGTTGATCCAGGTGAGCCATCTGCGTGGCAAAAATGCCCCGAACCACGGTTTCTCCTTCCACTCCACAGCCTTCACGGAGGTAGAGGTGAGTAAAGTACTCGAGGTGTTTTACTCATGCGCCCTATATGGCTAGTATTTTACTAAACATCTGGCAACAATGACTAAATTGTATGTTTATGTTCTGTAGCTTCTTTCCATGACAAAAAAAATCAAGGTGGAGGGACTCCGTGTTTTAGAATGTGGAGACGCGGAGCTGCTACAGGAGAACGGGACCAGGATCGTAGTAGATCGAGCCATTTGGTTGAAGTACGAACCTCCAATAGTCGCCATGCCAGAGTTTAATTTCATCTTTACTACGTTGGCATCTGTGCACGTCACATGCATTTAAAACGTAAAAACACACCATGCCCCTATTTGCCCACCCTGGACTAATAAATGTCCTTGGTGATTAACACAGGGGGGCAAATTGAATCTCTCATAAACCTGTAGTGAAGGAACACCGTCCTCTCTGCGGATCCTGTCGGGAGAAACAAACACAAATGCAATGACTTTGTTTGTGTTCAACCCACTGCACAACATGGTTCATGCAATGGTAGTAAACCTCTGCTTAACACCTTTTCTTAATCTATCCTTCAGGTATGGACATCTCACCCATTGATCTGATCAACATTGAGAGATTCTCCACTCGCGTGGTGGCTCTGGCTGAATATCCACTCGGGCTGCAGGAGTACCTGCGCTGCAAGATGGCCCAAGTGGCCCCAGCTTTAATCTGAGAAGTGGTGAGTTAAAGTGCAATGTGTTCACTGTATATAAATTACTCTAGGACCAATGATGTGTTTACCAAATCTGTCAATCCCCTGAATCTCTGTGTGGATACTTCCGGTCCTGATGGTCCTCCTGAGTATTCCATTTCTCATGGTACCTCCCCCAAAGCTCTGTTGGTCATTGAGCCTAATGCCCCTTTCTTCTTCAGGTTGGAGCTCGTCTGATCTCCCATGCTGGCAAGTATATTTCAAAGTCGGGCCGGGCAGTCACGACATCAGAGTTCTTCCTGAAGAATGTGAACCCATTTCATGAGGTCCCCCCCCCCCCTCCCTGCTGGGGAATAAAGTGGCTACAGTAATGGCAGGGCGGGTCAGGAACCGAGCAGGGTGACTGGAGAGGGCTAAGGTCTCCTCCAGAGTGATCCCTCTCCCCCAATGCACCCCCACAGTCTGAGGTAGAACATCCAAGTTATATTTCAACTATAAAAAGTGGCTGTGATGACAAACTTGCCCTCACTGATTAGATCTGATTGAGACAACTTAGATAACTGAGCCACTTTTGCTAACAACTAAGCCACTTTAAATAAAAGGTGTTTCAAACTCACAGTTTCTTTATCTTTCTTAAGGTGACCATGATGGCTGAGCACTAGGCACTGATCCTGATGCTGCCGTGACTTCATGAGGATGTCTCACTTCAAGGTAATTTCAAATATCTTGTATAAAATGATTTATTCACAGCATGCTATCCTAAGGACCAGGGCTTGTCTGTAGCTCTAGGGTTCTCCAAGTGCATGCCAGATAAAAGGTCGGTCTTTGACTGTTCTGGCCTCTTATGCCATCAGCAGCCACTCAACTGTCCAACAGATCCTCACGTCATTATGTAGAAATGCTTACTGCGCAACAACAGTTCTTTATTTCTTCTATATGTTATGCTACGGACGAAAAGTATATTATTCCGTCCAATTATTTTGTCCGTCTTCTCCTCCCACATTCAACATCGCAGAAACTCCGTTCAAACATCAAAACGTTCAGCTCGGTCGGGAATCGATGGCTATTACTTTTATCATTCATAACTTTCATAATTCCAGAGATACATCACATTTTTAACATTTGAACTTTAACATTGCGCAGCTCGTTAAGTTAGAGTGCGTAGGAAATCTTGAAATTTCCCTTCATATTTTTTTTTAAAACTGCCATAATTCCCAAACTCTACATTCCTGAGACATACTTTTTCATGACAAACGTAGGAAAACATCTCGTAGCTTGAAAAATGACACATAATTAAACAAAATGCCTCTTGAGGGCATGAAGTGACAAAAACGTTCAAAATGTCTCCATTAAAGCCCATTGTAATTTCAGGCAGATATTTCCACACAGCAGCAGCCGCACACCTTTAGTTAAACTGCCAAAAAGGCCACATTATTAACCCGAAAGTACACAAAAATTAAACTTCATATACTCAACTTCCTTGACATACTTCACGTTTTGAAATTTCTGTTATCGTTCTTCCACAAAACGTTCACATGTAAGAGGTTCATCTCTCATTCAGAACAATGAAACCTTTGATCTTTTCATAGCTCGTTAGCTCAACTATAAACACCTGTGTAATGGAACACGATGATGTCATCACTCCAACTGACAGCAGTCAGTTCTAATGCTGCGTTCACACCGGACGCGATGCGATGTTTGTGGGCGGCGCGATTACATGTAAAGTCAATGCAGAGATGCGAATTCGCTCCGACGGCGAGCATGAAGCGGTGGACGCGGCGTGATTGAACGGTGCAAGTTCAATTTTTTCAACTCGAGCGTCAAATTTACGTGACTCGTTCTCGCGGAAGCCAATCAGCGGTGAGGATCTCAGCCAGTGCCGTCACTGACGTTCAACCACACATCAGCCGTTAGCTGTTAGCAGTTAGCACACAGAGCTCACAGCTCCTCATATCTGTTCAGAAACTGGACAAAAGTTAAACAAGTACAAACCACAGACTGTCTGTGTCATGGCGAATACAGTCGCTGGTTTATTTATGTCTGTAGGCCGTTGATATGAGTGTGGAATGAGCATATACAACGTTAGCTTAGCCTGGTCGACCCGATCTTCATTCAGAAAACAAGCATTTTAAAAGGTTTTTCGCCTGCCGTCTTGTCTGCAGACTTGTCAAGCATTAATTAATTCATGGTTTTTACTAACCGGTATCAGTATGTTGTTACTTCGGCATCATTTAGAAACGTGTATTACAATTTAATCACGGTAAAATATGTTCATCTTGTTGCAGTTGTAGCTCCCTAGCCAGCGCGTCTTGTTTGAATGATGCGAGTAAACACAGCTGTCAGCCGCGGTGACACTCGAGCGTTTAGAGCGATGCGAATATTCGCATCGCGTCCGGTGTGAACGCAGCATAACTGTTCATTTCATACACACACACTCTCTCTCTCTCAAACTCTCTCTCTGCCACACCGATCCATGCCTCAACAGCTCTACGCCAAATCTGAAATATCACCATAAGCCGTTTCCATGGAAACGCATCCCTCGCCATAAAACACAATGTTGTCGTGATACCTATGCAAATGGTCCAAACACCACCAGACTTCAGATGACAGTTAATGGTCCAGCCCTCAACATGTCTATATACCATTAGTGAGTTTTCCTCAAAAGCTGTTGCCATGGCAACGCATCCCTTGCAATAAAACACGATATTGCTATAGAGTGGCAAAGTCCCTCCCCTTCCGGTGGACCTCCATGGGACCTTATTTCGGAAAAATTATGTATTGAAGTCAATGGAGAGAGAAAGATTATCTTTCGATCCCGTTTGAATTGTGCCACGAATTACACATATGTTGTTTGTCAATTTAAAAGATAATTTTGCAAGTCAAAAAAAAAAAAATGTGTCGTAAAACTGAAGTAACACATTTGTTTGTGTGAAACGCTCAATGAACTACATCTCTGGTCAACAACACACGTCACCAAGATGGCCGTCACTACTGTCTTGTCAACAAAACGATTGACTACCCTCACTATCACCACAATGAAACGCGTCCTGAAGAATGTCATGCAAAGCTGCCTGCCTGCCTTCCTTTGATTCTCTCTGAACTGCCTGGTCGTTTTAATGTTTAATGTCAACCATTTGTGCAGATATCATGAAGTAGAGAAGATCGCTAGCGTTAGCATTTCTCCCCCGGGCTTAAATTGTGTATTATAGAATGATCACACCGGTGACAGTACTCTTCAAAGGGTTCACGAAATATGACTACTACTCTTACTGTTTAACATTTTGGGTTACTTAATGTTACTTCATGTTAAGGCTAATAAAAATGACAAGGCTGTAATGCTAACTAACGTGCTAGCTACTAGCTAGCTTGATCCAGAGTACTCCTGGTCCTTTCATCAGACGGGAAGCGAAAGAACGAGCAAGACCCATTGCTGGTATAATAACAACCTGGTACTAAGCACACGGGCATCTTGTTAAAGTTATCTTATCTTAGCCAGCGCCATATAGATAGATTATATCTATATGGAGTTATCTTAGCTATCTCTTAGTGGAGGAAAACAATTGTGACATCACTTACGCGACTCTGGGATTTGTAGTCTTTCTAGTTGCGTATTTTTCATAGTCTTATATTTCAACAGTTTTACGACAAACTGACTTGACTAAGATTGACAAACATCATATGTGTAATTCATGGCACAATTCAAACGGGATCGAAAGATACGTTTTCTCTCTCCATTGACTTCAATACATTATTTTTCCGAAATAAGGTCCCATGGACCGGAAGTAGATGGGCGTGACTTTGCCACTCTATAACTCCTATGAAAATTGTCAAAGTGCTCAAACTTCACATGTGTGCTAACAGTCCAGCCGTGAAGACATCTACGGGACATGCCGTTGCCATGGCAACACAATGCCCGCCATGAAACACGGTTTTCTCATAACTTCAGTGAAAATGCTCCAAATGGCCCTAAACTTCACAGGTTTGGTAACACAGCCATCAACGCATCTAAGCGTATTATGGGATGTCATCAAATGCCGTTGGCATGGCGACAGATCATTCGCCATCAAGTTGGTTCAAAAGTTTGCATTTCAAATATTCTGCTGCTTTTCCAAGCCTTTTTACTTTCTTTTCTTCTCATCACACATTCAAGCCCCCAGTGTTCATGTATCATTTCAATCTAAATTCTTCACTTTCTTCTTACACATTACATTTCAGCATAGCAGTTTAGCGTCAGCTTTTCAGCATAAAGCATTCCCACTAGCAATTTCTTCAGGAATTGCATTCTCTAGTTTTAATGCTGTTCTCTTCCTGCAGGCATCAATCTGCCCATGAGATCTAATCCGATGTCCTTGGGATGCAGAGGCTCCATGTAACATGAGGTATTTAAGGAGATTTGTCTGCATCATTTCATAAATTCCTGATCTATGATGAATTTAAAACAAGAGGACTGTTGGATGAAACTCGCGGATATGGGACTGAGATTAGCTCTTAAATAATGACCTTAGAAAAAGTGTTTGAATTTCACTAAATGTAGTTTCTTTGTATTCTCAGGTGCAGTGCGTTGAAGGCAGCAGCAAGATGGTGAAGGAGGACAGGAGGATGTAAAGCTCTGAGAGTCGTAGCGACTGGACAAAGTGCTATACGAGTACCGTCCGAGTTCTCTGTAAAGGATTTCTTACAAACTGTGCAGCTGAACGGTTTCTCTCCGAAACAATTGTTGAAATAAACATCTTACACAGAACAATTTTGAGAATCCCTTTATTGATATTCTTGTATTTACACATGTGAAGGACATTTAGAGTTTGTGATGAATGTTTCACAACACTTATGGTGCAACAAGCATTGGATGCTTAGTTCACAAAGTTAATACATAACATTACAAATGATAAAATACTTCCAGACACAGCACATACTGAGGGCTTGTTTTTAATGAAAACATTCATGGGTTATTTTTGAAAAATCTGGTTGAAATTGTCCTTTATATCCCACTATCATGTCTAGCTTAAATATCAAACTGAAGCACAGGTAATGTGGTCTTTGACTAATACTAAACTTTTTTAAGAGTGATTTCCTGCTACTTTGTCATTGCAATGCCAAATAGTTTTAAATACAGTGGCAACCCCACACATGAATGGTTTCAGGATGCTTTACTGTTGGAATGACACAGGAGTGATGGTAGCGTTAACTTTTGTTCTCTGGACAAGCTTTCTTTTGGACTTCCCACACAATCTGAAAGGGGATTCGTCAGATAAAATTACGTTACCCCACTCCTCAACTGTCCAATCCCTGTATACCTTTTGTAGAATATCAGTGTCTGATGTTTTTCCTGGAGAGGGCTTCTTTGCTCCCCTTCTTGAAACTAGGCCATCCTCCAAAGTCTTCTCCTCACTGTGTGCAGATGCTCTCACACCGGCTGCTATTCCTGATCAAACGGTGCTCTGCTGGTGCTCCGATCCTGCTCCTGATCAACTTTAGGAGACGGTCCTAGTGCTTGCTGGACTTTCTTGGACGCCCTGAAGCCTTCTTCACAACAATTGAACCTCCCTCCTTTTTCAGGATTAAGTTCATTTTCATAGCAAAGAGGGATGTTGAAATAAATTGCAAATCACTCTTCATAACATGCTGCAGTATTTGTGTCATTCTCAAAACTTTTGGCCACGTCTGTACATTTAACCCATCCTTGTATGAGAGCCGTGTGCAGCTCCTATAGCTCCAGGGCTTCTACTTTAACCTCCGGGTTTAATTTAAAACATTTCACGAATACCAAAATGTTTGCGCATAATTCAGTTATTTTTATTACATCAGGTGCACATGTCCCCCTCATAGTAAATAAATATCGCTCTACTGCACATCATTTTATTTCCTTAGTCTCATTTATTCTTCAATGTGCCTACAAAACGGTCAAACTGAATTTAATGCAATTTCCAGTTAAAAATAGAACTTATATCCTTCCTGAATTTAACAACAGACTCACCACAGGATGCTTTGAGTCTGGGTCGAGTTAAGTGGAGTTGGCGTCTAAGAAGAAAGCAGAAGAAGCCATGAAATCTGTTTTTTATTAAAGCAATGATAAGATAAGGGTAAGTATTAATGACTGTCCACATATTTCTTTCCCAATTTATAAACCAGTTTGAAAATGCTTATTCTAAAGCAAAAGCTCAAGTGTCTTCATATTGTTTAAATACATGGACTTCATTTCACCAACAAGGCCCAGGACCCCCACTGACAGTGACTGGTATCCACCCCATAATAACATTACATTAATGTACATCATGTGAACAACATCTTGTTTTTAATACTGTGAGCCATGTTCAGGCTAAGCTCTCTGCATTTTGCACACGTCTGCACGGCTCTCCATTTTAAAATATAATTCACTGTAGATTGCCATATATTCATTGTCCTAAATATGGTGACTATTGCCACTCAATATCACAGAGGGATTTGCTAAACTGGGTGATTTAGTAGGACGAGTGTAATCTCCATTGACGACGAAGTTTTTTGCTTTCAATGCCATTTTATTTTGTATATTTTGTGCTCGGCGACACGGTCAGAAAACAGTTTATTCTTCCCAGTCCCATATCACACACCTGTACCAGGGACATCAATGATATTCTGTTGCACCACTGCGCCATCTAGTGTTCAAAATATAACCAATAACAGACAGCCGAACCCTCGAGGAACCCACTGAGGACAGAGGAGACAAACAGGTGATGGTAATAATCTTGATACGTTATTGAAAACAGCCTCGTGGTATTTCATCGGCTCCAGATTGGCTGAGTCGATGAGGAGGAAAACACCGTCATGTGATTGGTTGTTAGTTTAGCTTCAACCTGTATGACTCTATCTGTTGAGCTTCATTGTTTTACGTTCATCAGATGATATTCTATACGACAGGACCCTCCTTCAGTCTCTTTCGGCTTCAAGCCTTCCGAAGGACAAAGAAGAGCATAACCTCCGGTAAGATACAAATATTCGTATTTAATGTCACAAAAGTGTATAGTTGTTATAGTTAGCTTATAGTGAACTGAAAATAAGTATTTTATCATGTCAAGACAATTACTGACTGACATGCTGAAACCGAAACCAACGAGCTAACGTTAGCTTCTGTAGCTTAGTAGCTGTTATCACGTGGTTCAGTTAGCTTAAGAGTGATTCTACAATTTAGGGTACATTCCATGTCCATTGATGTCCATTGATGATAATTATAATTATTCTAACTATTGTCTTCAAAAATATCATTTTGCCTATTATTGGAAAGCATGTTATAATATCACACACACATTATGTGCATCCTATGTTTTATTTAGCTTGAAATGTGTCATGATGTTCTTAAATTGTCAGTTTTTGCTATGTCCGTTTTTCAGTTGAGGGTGTCTTGGTTTCAAAATAATGAATAAAAACCATTAAAGTAAATAAAAAAAATTATTCATTTATTTCAAAAGTCTAAATACTAAAGAATAATAACATATTTTTAATTGATTTCGTCCTTTAAATAATTTAAATATCTTAATATATGAATGTCCGCAAAAGTTCTGTCAACTATGTTACTAACAGAACTCCCCCCTTTAACTCAAAAATGGTTTGTCCCAATACCATGTCACCAGCATCACATGAAGCCATGTTCCTCTTTGGCAGACATTTTGAACACATTGTGGTGATTGTCCTCTAACTTTTTACAATATGTTATGTATAATAGCACATTGTCAATGAGTATATTAATTGACCATCAACAATGTTACGTACATTGTTATGGTTTACAATTGTTTAATGATTTTAATTCAATTATATGTTCAAATGTGATGTTAACCTGTTCAAGAAAATGACATGTGGTCATCCAGGCAAGGCCTACCATTGAAATGATGGGTCAAAATAGGGAAATTGTCAATTAAGTTACCCAGTACTGTAATAACTGTAGTAACTTAGTTGACAGGTAACCTAGTTGACAATTTGTATGACATGTAGATGTCATTACACATCATTATCAATGGAATTTTGCACTTCTGCCTTGAAATGAACATAGTGCTGATGGTTAATAATGTGTCCAGTCAACTATGTTATTTGCGTCAAATGTTTGACTTTCATTGTCAACTATGTTGCACCTCATTTTTTCAAATTTAAAATATCTAAAATAGTGCTTCTGATATCCTTTATAGTATAATGTATATCTACACAGGTTGGAGTTTTACATGACATCTCTTAAAACTATCAAAATGACCTGTATGGTAGTTTTATTATACAAAATATCCCTATCCTTAATGACGGTGCTGAACATATCGCATGAAAAAACAAAACTTTAATACAATTATTTTTTAAACTTTAAAAAATCTTTGGATATATGGTAGAATAGACTCAAGAGCCTTTCAAATTTGATTTTACTTGAAGTGCAGGACTTAATCAAATGATTGTAATGACATCAAGTTTGTCCGTAACATAGTTGACAAACTGAGTAGTGAAAACATCCTTTCCCTTAAAATAAAAAATAAATAAAAATGTTTAAGCTTTGCAACTAGTGGATATGTTACACTGAGGAATATACTAACTTGAACCACTGATTGTTCTATTGAGAAAGAACACTTTCTTTGTACTGTTTTGTTGATGTGAAATGCACCCTAAATTATAGAATCAGTCTTAAGTTAATAGCTATAATGGCATGTTAATGTAGTTGTATTTTACCAAACATTGCGCTGCCTTATTATCAGTGGCGTTCTTATATGTACAAAAGTGGTGGGGCACAAAAAACTTAGGTGTCTATATATAAGCTTCTGCAGTGAGGTGCAGTGAGGTTCATGGCTGGTGAGGCACTGGTACTGACTCTTCAGGTTTACAAATATTATATTTTGACCTAAACCAAAATATAATATTTTCAAAAGCTTTTTTTTGTCTGATGCTTCGATTAATTTTAAACAGACAGTTCAACAAAAGGATACCCAAACAATGTAATTTTATCATTTAAATATTGAATTGTTCTCTCTTAGTAAGATCCCATTTTCAATAAAATTGCCGTCTTACCTTGACTTGAAGATGAAGTCCATTTGTCTATCCTTCTGGACAAAAATGTCTTACTTTTTTGTAAAAGTCCTCCTTATCTTCTTGTAGTTTCAAAAGTCTATCATAAATCTAATCGATAGATTTATGATTCAAAAATTATAAAAGTAGGGTAGACATGTGGATATTATCCGGCTGAACAAAACGTGCATTTATCTAACGGGTACGTTTCCCACAGATCTTATTTCGAGCTATTTTCTAAAATCCTATGGAGAAATCTCATTGCTTTTTTGTCGAGGGAAGCCACGCGCAGCTTACTTCCGGGTTTTAGGACGCGTCACTGCAGCTCTCCTCTTCACACACCACACTTTTCGCGGCACACGTACTTACAGCCAATCGGCTCTGAATTATGTGAGATGACGTATGATGGGGATGGCAGCTCGGTGCCCCTATGGTCATTATTTTTTTGCCACACACATTAAATAGGAAAATACTCTGAGCATGCGCAGTGTAGTTTTTACAGTCACCGTTCACTTAGACAGTGAGAGGGAGGGGCATGATCAGGTTTTGTCCCACATGGCTCTAAACAGCTCAATAGGCACACACTGTAGACACTAATTAGAAGAACACAGACTAAAACAGCAATGTACAGACGAATCGGATGATTAACCATGATCTTAAAATATATTTTATATATTTTTGTAATCATTATTTGTAATACTTTCTGCTGACACTAGGTGGGGCTGGAGCATAAT